TCCATATCAAATTTCGCAACATTTTTTATTAATTTAAAATATTTTTTTTAAAAAAATGTGATGGTACCCCTAGAACTCGAGGCCAAAACTAAAAAAATATTAATAACGACATTATTGACAAGTCTTTTTGACATGAAACTTTTGCAAAGGATTTTACGTGCAAGTAAAAACATCCATGTCAAATTTCACAACTTTTTTGTGGAATTTAAAATTTGTCCAAAGAATGTGATGGTACCCCTAGAACTCGAGGCCAAAACTAAAAAAATAATAATTTAGACATTATTGACAAGTCTTTTTGACTTGAAACTTTTGAAAAGGATTTTACATGCAAGTAAAAAAACATCCATGTCAAATTTCACAACTTTTTTATTGAGTTCAAAATTTGGCAAAAAAATATGATGGTACCCCTAGAGATCAAGGCCAAAACCAAAAATAATATTAATATAGACATTATTGACAAGTCTTTTTGAAATGAAACTTTTGAAAAGGATTTTACATGCAAGTAAAAACATCCATGTTAAATTTCGCAACTTTTTTTATTAATTTAAAAGTTTTCCAAAAAATGTGATGGTACCCCGAGAACTCAAGGCTAAAACTAAAAAAATATTAATAAAGACATTATTGACAAGTCTTTTTGACATTAAACTTTTGCAAAGGATTTTACGTGCAAGTAAAAACGTCCATGTCAAATTTCGCTACTTTTTTGTTTAATTTAAAATTTGTCCAAAAAATATGATGGTGCCCTTGATCTCGAGGCCAAAACCAAAAATAATAATAATTTAGACATTATAGACAAGTTTTTTTTACATGAGAATTTTGAAAAAGATTTTACATGCAAGTAAAACATTCATGTCAAATTTCGCAACTTTTTTGATAAATTTAAAATTTGACAAAAAATGTAATGGTACATCTAGAGCTCGAGGCCAAAACTAAAATAATACGGAGTAATAATTTAGAAATTATTGACAAGTCTTTTTGAAATTGAAACTTTTGCAAAGGTTTTTACATGCAAGTAAAAACATCCATGTTAAATTTCACAACTTTTTTTATTAATTTAAAATTTTTCCAAAAAATGTGATGGTACTTCTAGAACTCTAGGCCAAAACTAAAAAAAATATTATTAAAGACATTAATGACAAGTCTTTTTGACATGAAACTTTTGCAAAGTATTTTACGTGCAAGTAAAAACGTCCATGTCAAATTTCGCTACTTTTTTGTTTAATTTAAAATTTGTCTAGAAAATGTGACGGTACCCACTAGAGCTCGAGGCCAAACTAAAAATAATAATAATTTAGACATTATTGACAATTCTTTTTGACAATAAACTTTTGCAAAGTATTTTACATGGAAGTAAAAATATCCATGTTAAATTTCACCTCTTTTTTGATGAATTTAAATTTTGTCCAAAAAATATGATGGTGCTCTAGATCTCGAGGCCAAAACGAAAAATAATAATAATTTAGACACTATAGACAAGTTTTTTTTACATGAGACTTTTGAAAAAGATTTTACATGCAAGTAAAAACATCCATGTCAAATTTCGTAACTTTTTTGATGAATTTAATATTTGACAAAAAATGTAATGGTACATCTAGAGCTCGAGTCCAAAACTAAAATAATAGTAATTTAGAAATTATAGACAAGTCTTTTTGAAATGAAACTTTTGCAAAGGATTTTACATGCAAGTAAAAACATCCATGTTAAATTTCGCAACTTTTTTTATTAATTTAATTTTTTTTCCAAAAAATGTGATGGTACTTCTAGAACTTTAAGCCAAAACTAAAAAAATATTAATAAAGACATTATTGACAAGTTTTTTTGACATGAAACTTTTCAAAGGATTTTACGTGCAAGTAAAAACATCCATGTCAAATTTCGCTAATTTTTTGTGGAATTTAAAATTTGTCCAGAAAATGTGTCGGTACCCCTAGAGCTCGAGGCCAAACTAGAAAAATAATAATTTAGACATTATTGACAAGTCTTTTTGACATGAAACTTTTGCAAAGTATTTTACATGCAAGTAAAAACATCCATGTTAAATTTTGCCACTTTTTTGATGAATTTAATTTTTGTCCAAAAAATGTGATGGTACCCCTAAAGCTCGAGGCCAAAACCAAAAAAATAATAATTTAGACATTATATACAAGTCTTTTTCACATGAGACTTTTGCAAAAGATTTTACATGCAAGTAAAAACATCCATGTCAAATTTCGCAACTTTTTTTGTTGAATTTAAAATTTGGCCAAAAAATGTAATTTTACCCCTATAGCTCGAGGCCAAAACTAAAAATAATAATAATTTAGACATTATTGACAAGTTTTTTGACATAAAACTTTTGCAAAGGATTTTACATGCAAGTAAAAACATCCATGTCAAATTTCGCAACTTTTTTGATGAATTTAAAATTTTTTCAAAAAATGTGATGATACTCCTAGAATTCGAGGTCAAAACTAAAAAATATATTAATATATACATTATTGATAAGTCTTTTTGACATGAAACTTTTGCAAAGGATTTTACATGCAAGTAAAAACATCCTTGTTAAATTTCGCCACTTTTTTACTGAATTTAAAATTTGTCCAAAAAATGTGATGGTACCCCTGGAGCTCGAGGCCAAAATTAAAAAAATAATAATTTAGATACTATTGACAAGTCTTTTTGACAAGAAACTTTTACAAAGGATTTTACATGCAAATAGAAACATCAATCTCAAATTTTTACAACTTTTTTGATGAATTTAAATTTTGGCAAAAAAATGTGACGTACCCCAAGAACTTAAAGCCAAAAACTTAAAAAATAATAATTTAGAAATTATTGACAAGTATCTTTGATATGAAGCTTTTACCAAAGATTTTATATGTAAATATAATCATCCATGTCAAATTTGGTAACTTTTTTTGATGAATTTAAAATTTGGCAAAAAAATGTGATGGTACCCTAAGAACTCGAGGCCAAAAACTTAAAAAATAATAATTAAGACATTATTGACAAGTCTTTTTGACATTAAACTTTTACCAAGGATTTTAGATGTAAATATAAACATCCATGTCAAATTTGGCAATTTGTTTGATGAATTTAAAATTTGACCAAAAAATGGGATGGTACCCTTGGAGCTTGAGGCCAAAATTAAAAATAATAATAATTTAAATACTATTCGCAAGTCTTTTTGATATGAAACTTTTACTAAGTATTTCACATGCAAATAAAAACATCAATCTCAAATTTGACAGCTTTTTTGATAAATTTAAAATTTGGCAAAAAAATGTGATGGTACCTCTAGAGCTCGAGGCCAAAAACTTAAAAAATAATAATTAAGATATTATTGACAAGTATTTTAGACATGAAGCTTTTACAAAGGATTTTAGATGTAAATATAAAAATCCATGTCAAATTTGGTACTCCCTCCGTCCCATTTTAAATTGCATGTTTGCCTTTTTTCTCCGTCCCAAAATAAGTTGCCTGTTAGTTATTTTCGTAAACTTTTAAAAATAAAATACATAAACTACCCCTAAAATAAGTCACTCTTCTTCACCTTATCTTCTCATTCATCATCACCCCTTATAAAAAGTAATGTCACTTTCGAAAAATCAACTCTATTTTTTATTTTCCTTAAATATGCCCAAAAAACAAAACAGGCGATTTAAATTGGGACGGAGGGAGTAACTTTTTTTGATGAATTTAAAATTTGGCCAAAAAATGTGGTGGTCTCGAGCCCAAAACTTAAAAATAATAATTTAGACATTATTGACAAGTCTTTTTTGCATTGAAACTTTTATCAAAGATTTTATATGTAAATATAAACATCCATGTCAAATTTGGTAACTTTTTTTGAAGAACTTAAAATTTGGCCAAAAAATGTGATGATACCCCTAGAGTTTGAGGCCAAAAACTTAAAAAATAATAATTTAGACATTATTGAAAAGTATTTTTGACATGTAGCTTTTACAAAAGATTTTATATGTAAATATACACATCCATGTCAAATTTGGTAACTTTTTTTTGATGAATTTAAAATTTGGCAAAAAAATGTGATAGTACCCTAAGAGCTCGGAGTAATTTACCAATACAAAAAAAATATCCATTCCTGGCAGTGCAAGTCAGACTTTTTTTCCTGGTAGTGCAGGACGGATTAGCCAAATCTGTTTCAAATTTGAAAATATTAAATGAAACGGATTTGGCTAATCTGTTCTAGGTTTTTAATTTATCAAACGGAGTAGCCTACTGCGTTTCACTTTATTTAAAAAAAGGGCAATGCTAGGGGTACCCCATGTTGGTGTACCCCTAGCTTAATTCTTAAAAAAAACCCCAAACGGAGTAGGCAAATCCGTTTCAGATAAAATTAAAGCCAGACGGATTAGCCTACTCCGTCTCTCTATTCGGATAACCCTTCCCCTTCCATCGTCCACTCATTCATTCGTCATCCACACCATCCGCCGACCGCCGACCAGAGCTCGCCATCCACCAAGCGCCGACCGACGACTGAAGGGGAAACCGCCAGGAGATCTGACCATCCGAACGGGGCAACTGGAAATCCGACCAGGACAATTCGGATTAGCCTAATCCGTTTCATGGAGGTATTTTTTATTTTTTTAGTTAATTTATATATATATATTTATCATTTTATGATAATATTTAGATTTATGTTTTATAAAATTGTAAAAATTATATAGAATTACCAATTTGGGTGAATTTGTTAATTATAATTGATATATATTATTAGTTTGTAATTGCCTAGTTGTGTGCTTGTATTAAATCAATAAATTCTTATGTGGTTTGAATGAAGTGCGTTGTTATTAAATGAATAAATTGTTATTCTGTAATCTTTGAAGCAAATGGATGTTCATCTGGGACCTATTTCCTGAGACGTTTTAGTTCTTGAAGGCGGAGTACATAGGTGTGATGCAGTATGGGCGGACGAAGAATATGCCAAAAAGAGTCTAAAGTGTCATAGAACTTGTTCTAGTATATATCCGAAGACTCTAGTTGCTAATAGACCACCTCGTGTTATAGAGATCTTACAAGATTATGGATTGTATGGGGTGGAGAAAGTGGGTGGATTACAGTTAGATTGGGCTCTGATTACTTCTTTAGTGGAGAGATGGAGACCCGAGACACATTCATTCCATCTTCCATTTGGAGAGGTGGGAATTACACTACAAGATGTTGAGGTTTTACTTGGATTGCCCGTAGATGGCATTCCATTGTCGGGGGGCACTAGTCGGTCAAGAGATCAATGGATTCAGATTTGTGATGACATGATGGGTTTGATACCTGAACCATCTGATATTACGTCTTCTACGATTAAGATATCTGCAATTGAACCGAAGACGCTGACAGAGCACAGTGTAGAAGTTGATTACCAACAGCATGCTAGAGCTATCATGTTTAAGTTGATGGGTGGTAGCTTATTTCCCAACACGACGGGAAATAATGTTAGTTTGTATTTGTTGGAGGTAATCATGGGTGACTCTGTGCTGGTGCGGGGTCGTGCCATAGGTGCTGTGGTTCTTAGTTTCTTGTATCGTAGTATGTGTCGTGCGAGCATGACACATGTATCTCAGATAGGAGGGTGTCTTATCCTCTTACAGCTTTGGGCATGAGAACGTCTGCCTATGACTAGACCTAGGGGTATTGTACCATTGGAGCAGCTGGTTAATGTTCCATATGGAGTCAGGTATTTCCCATTTATTTATGTCCCATGTATATACTCAATTTATTTTATTCTTGTTAATGTTTAATCCTCCATTGGTAGATGGGTGTGTTATCATCGGTGGTCAGATTGTACGACACACTCCTTACGAACTTACAGGAACCAGCTAGATAGGTTGCTCGATGGAGAGGTAAGTACTAAACACATCACAGTGTTATGCATACATATTATATTTTAAATGTCTATTGTATTCCTTTTTTATGTATGCAGTTGGTTTGGATGCCGTATCCGAATGTCGATACCCTACCACCCTGTTGTTCGGCCGGACTCCGAATATGGATATCACGCATCCCTTTGATCTACGGATATGTCGTGGAGATGTACTATCCGGGTCGATTTTGCAGACAGTTTGGTGCCCGCCAACGTGTTCCTCTCGATGTTGTGTATGATCGACACCTACATAACATTAAGTCGACCACTATGGACCTCGGAGACAATGAGAGACATTATTTAGGTGTATGGGAGGGACGTTACGCTGCAAATGTAGTGATGGAATTTGGGATGTCGGATGCCACGCCTGAGTACCGTCAGTGGTATTACCTCCATGGTCGAAGACAGATAGGAAACCCCGCACATCAACCCAGAACAGGCTATGTCCCCTTTTTTTTTTGAACAAAGTGCAAATATTAATCCACAATCAAACATACAAAGTTTTGCTAAACAGCAATTACCTCTACTTCCCATACAATTAGACTGCCTATTTTTGGGCAATATATAGATAGCTACATGGTACTTTATATAATCAATACACTTCCCAGTAGACATTGCTTCCTTCCCATGTATGATTTGGTTTCTTACTCTCCAAATTGCATAACAACACGCGTTGAAGGTGGCAGCCCTCAGGTTTCTCTCCTTTCTGCTTTTGCATCTAGCCAACATCTCCTCTATCTCCTTCAGTTCCTGCACCTGGATATTCACACCCATCCAAACAGCTATCTCCTGGTGTATTATTGTGGTGTACTTACAGGAGCAAAATATATGATTGACATCTTCTTCATGTTGTCCACAGAGAACACATTTTGTGTCAATCTGTAGGAATTTACTTAGTCTTCTTTTTGTTTGTAACCTCCCCTTCCAGGACAGCCAAGCTATAACCTGGTGTTTTGGTTGGGTCCAGTTATTCCACACTGCATTAGCCCAACTCACCTTTGGTTTCTCTCCCATGAGCCATTTATATCCTTCTTTGATACTATACTCCTCCTTCATGGTCATGTTTTTGAATTCAGTCCTTACCTTCAGTAGTTTTTTCCAGTAAAAGCAAGTGTCCCCTGTTC